TTGTAGCAAAAACATCTTTTATTAAGTGAATGCAAAATCTTTTTTGGTGGTTCACTCTCACAATGTACCATGTTATTAAAATTCTTACAGTGTTGGTTTTGTTTTGCTAAATGTGGCCTATCCTTTCAAGTGTTGAGGTAGCATCTGTTACTCACTGTGTAAAGATTGCCACTTAGCTAGCTATCTTTGTGTGTTTGTATCTATACGTTGGCATTTATATTGAAGTATAGAAGTATTTGAGAAAGACTTACTTATTTTTTTAGCATTTAATATGTTAATAGTGCTAAAAAATATGTGCTTGAGTGTCTGTAAATCTGGTACAAATTAGGGAGCACAGTTCTGATTTCCCCACACTGTGCTGCCAAGTGGCCTCAATCAGAAGTAATTTTCTCCATGAAGGCACATGCAGCTCACTTGTCGGCCTCTCCTCAGTAGATATTGTTATTTGTATCAAATTATATGTGGTGATTTTTCAAAGTGGACTACTGTGTCCACTAAGCCATACAGGTTTCTGCCACATTCACTCCTTCGTTGCTGTCACTAATTATACTGTTTTCTGCTGCCTCTTGTTTATCTATGTTATTTGAAAGAAATATTTGAGTTTTATCAATAAATATTTACAAAATAGAGTAAGTACCAAGTGAATAAGTAAACTACCAAACCCCTCAAAATCTTCTGTGTTGTGTACAAGACAAGTAGCTACTTTTTTTTTATAAAGGAAATAGTTTTTTCAGGGCTACATGAAAAATATAGAACAAAGTAATGGAGACTTCATTTGCCTTCAGTACCCCCATTTAAGATTAGAAATTGAGTTTTTACCGAGTGCATTTGGGAATTCTTGACTGTTTATCATATAGCTAATCGGAAGCACTTCAGAATCACCTCTCCTTAGATTACATCACATTCTTTTACAAAGTGCTAATAGGAAAAGAATTGCTGAAATGAGAAGACAAAGATCTAGACTATCTCTCTGGAATTAACTATTCTTAAACTATTGCAGTTTTAAATTTTACTGTTTTATTTGAGTCTAATCATATCTCAGAGCTGTTTACTGTCAGATCCTGTGACACTCAGATGAATTTCAGTAGTAGGAATTACTTGGATTTGCATTGCTGTGTCATTATGGCAGTTGTTGGTAATGTCACACTTAATCAGCAGTTATTGAAAAGCATTGTTCGGCAGAACAGGGATGGGACCTTGACCCTGTTCCAGTTGAAATAAAATCAGGCATAGCACATGTGCCACAGGTGCTTAGTAACATGATCAGTATAAGTAATGGGTGTAATACTATTAAACTGAATCAAAAATGTAAAAGAAATGCAGAAGGTGAAGTATAGTACTAAAGTAACTGATTAAGCTTTATTCAGACTGTTGAAGGTAATATCAACATAATAACAACTAGGGGGAAAAAATCACTGTCAGAGGAAACAATTGAAAGAAACTATTATTTTTAAAGGGTTATTTATTTTTGTCTATATGACTCTGTATTTTTAAATATTTTAAGTCGGGGAAGAAGGTGAGTAGATGCTGTGTAGGTTGACCCTAGATAGAGGAGCTAGTAAACTTTGAAAACAGACCTATATGTTTTTGAACCAGATAAGTTCTTAGTTCTCTACCTGACTTGATTTACTGATAGCGGGAGGAGGTTGATGGAAGCACGTGGCCGAATGAGGCAAACATAAATTTGCAGAGTTTGTGTATTTGAATTAGTCAAGAATACATAATTGCATACAATCTTTATTGTGAGATTCTGAACATTTATTTTTATTCATTGTCTATTTATGTCCAAGTAATTAGATGGAGTAGTCAAGAATAGAGAGTTTAATCTGCTTATACTTACTAGTAAGTGGCTTTTGATTTTACTGTTTTCTTTAACCCACTCTATGTTTGAGTGATAATTAAAAACAGCCACAGAAATCAGGCATCAATATTCAGTTTACATGAAACTATCAGCCAAGAAATACTTAATTTTGCTGTTATTCTTGTGGGCTGGCCTTACTCATGTTGAACAATGCCTTACTCTTTAGTTAAAGTTACCAGTTAAAATAATCAGTTTATAGCTTTGGGCGTGAGCTGAATGTGTTTGAACATTTAAAAAATAAAAGACGACTCAACATGAATAAGACAGAATTTGTCTCAAGGATCAGGTTGTAGATGGGTGAATTAGACAAGGAAGCAGCAGCATGAAACATAGAAAAATATTTATGCACTGTTCCCTTGATTTCAACAAAAGTCATGCTGTTTTTTTGGAGTGCAATGTCTGATGTCAGCCTCTGAGGTGAACTGTTATGTAAAGCTCTGATGTGTGCCCATATGAGACTGGATAAACATCACTAGTTTTCATATGTGGGTTGGCATAAACAAAGCAAAACCCAGTGTAGATGCATGCATACCTCTGATCTCGTTTGGATGTGACAACATTTACATTTATGTTTTCAAGTGTTTGGACATGTAACTTTAGGAAATGTTACATACCTGTTAATCTGTAGGATTTACCTGTGGAAGCATTTGTCAAGAATTATTTTTTTTAGTCTGAGATTTGTTTAAAAAATAAACCCTCAAAATGACAGGGATTTGAACCTGCGCTGTGGAGCTGGTGCATACGTTGTTTTCCTTCGGTCTTCTTGGAAACAGTGTCAATGGAAATTGTAAGGTGGTGTTTCCGTAACTGCTGCAAATGAAAACACACCAACTGCACTTCTATTCTTTTCTTAATTAACGTACAGTGATTATTAGTGACCTGATCAAACAAACTGGTTTAACAACTAGCAACAGACCTAAATGTCATGTACACATGCCAATTGGATTATTTGCAGGTATATTGCTGTATTTTGCAAGACACTTACTGAAAAAGTCAGATGACAAAGAGCCAGCATTTTTTCCCCCAAATTTAAAATATTTGGAAAATTTATTAAAGGCTTATGGCTGCTTTTGAAATTATGCAAAACATGGTATTTGTCCATCTTTATATGTGGCAGAAATTGACATTTCCCTAAAATAGCATATTTTTTGTTTCGTTGTGGTTTTCTTTCCTAGTTTATTTACCAGGAGTACACACTGATAAATGGCTCTACAGACAATGTCATGTGTTAATAATATGAAATCTGAAAGGTATTTTTTGAACAGTTTGTGCAGAACTGCTTGTGCTTTCATTTCTGCCATGCAACTGGACACACATAAGGTACCCAAACTGACCGTGTGTAGCTGCAGTGCACTGCTCCAGTGTGTGCTAGTGCTTTGTTCTCTGTTTCATACAGTGTGATTCCCACTCTTTATTCCCTGTGCATATGCAGTTGCTGGATTTTTTCCCAACATGGCTAGAAGGTGCAATTAACAGTAATGGATACTTTGGTAGTGGGAATCTTTATTTCTTCAGTCATAATAATAGCCTCTTATTTCAGGAGATATATTGTTGAATGGCAGCTAGTGTTGGTGAGTATGTGCCCACAAAAGTGGGTTAATTTGGTCAGATTCTCAGCTGGCACAAATAGTCATATTTCCATGAAAGATAGTAAGCTATATTAATTTATGGAATCCCAGCTGGGAATCTCAATCAATTTCAATAAAAACTAACCATCATATTCCTCTGAAGCAAGAATTACACAACCTAGCCTAAAGTGAATTTTGCTGTTTTAATAAATGTAGGTAGTCACTGGTTCATAATAAATTACATAAAATTAGAGTGTAGTCAATATTTGATTTCTTTTAAAAATTTATCCCTTTTCATCGAATGCAACAGAATCATTTATGTATTGTATCTCAGCATGATACATTATATAGGAGTACTGTATTTAATACTGGAAAACTATCATATAAATAGAAATTACATTTTTTTTCATTAGCTAGCTAGCTTTCATTTCAAGGAAGAAATACTCAGTCAATTATAAATGAGGCTGTGCTTTCATTGGAGAGTGAAATATGTAATTTTTTTCAAACATCAACCATGTATAATGAAATCTCTCTTTTGAAATCCAGTCTTAAGATGGATTTTGAAACATACTGACATTTAATAAAATCTTAGTTAAATTAAAATATGTTCAGTTATTTCAAATCTCTATTTAAATCTAGGGTAAATTTCGACACCTGCACAAGAGATGTCTTTAGCAAATAGTTACTATTAACCAATGATTGTGAAGCATGTATATATAAGAAAGAAGAAATTTTAATTTTTTAGTACGTTCCAATTGGTAACCTGGCTGTTATGCATTATAGATCTGTCAGGGTCTGGCTCTTCAAGAAGATCGGTAGCAGTAGTATGTCTGGGTAACTAGAAGAAGAATCAAAGACCTCAGGCTGCCATTTCAAAGTCAGACTTGTGTCCCACTTCTGTAACTGGCTTATGTTTCTGTAGCCTTTGGCTAGTAGTTTACCATGATGGTTGGCTGGCCTCTGGGAAATGAAGTGATAGTGTGTCTGAGTCCCATCCATTGACTGGGAGTCTCTTTAAGAGTCTGGCAAATGAATGATCACAGCTACCGTCAGGTGCTAGTTGAAGCAAAATGGCAGAATAAGCTGAAGTTTCTACTGTCAATACCTTTGTATTAATACACTGTCATCAGTACTGTTAACAAGAGAAATTAAGCCAGTAAAGGGACCCTGTTAAGCACTGTAATTCATCATAAAAAAACCAATGACTAACAAACAAGAGAAGGCTCTTCACTGTTTACGTGGATTTAGAATTGTAGCTTTGATTTCCATTGTTAAAACTGTCTACGTTTAATACTAGAACCTGATGAATAATTAAAAAAAACCCCGTGTGCAAGTATTATTAATACATATTATTAATAACACTTTGCATATTCTGATTTGAAACCGTCAGGAAAACAGTCACTTTCAATTTTGATTTCCATAAAATATTATTTGTCCAATTCTAATAAATGCTGAACACAGCCGTGGAAGGAAAAACTAGCTAAAGACCTCCAGTTATAAGTTCACTAAGGCTTTATTTCACGTTGTCCTGTTAGATGGTTTTGCCACAGTGTTCCTGATTCTTTTTAAAGGGCCCCTTGAGGATGCCATTGAGGATGAAGAAGAAGAGTGCCTGTCTGAGGAAAATGATACTATCTCAAAAGAAGACTTTCCATTGGAGGAAAGCTTTTCTGCAGAGTTTGAGCCTGAAAATCTGAGCTGTGAAGAAGTGGAATACTTTTGTAATAAAGGTAATCGTTGTAGCCCACCTCTTGAGGGAATACTGGCCAAACTGTGGCCAATTGGTCAATAAGATTTTTTTGGTTTAAAATGTACAATAAATCCTATTAATATAGTACCTTAAAAATAGGGCAATGAGTGACTTGTGGAGTTAAGTCTGGTGAGGGGTGAATATTTAGATGTGTTGGAAGATATACTTTTCAGGGAGGTGAATCGTCTTGCCTTTAATGTTTTCCTCCAAGAATGTTATTTTCTACGTATTTAACTGTAGAGAACAGGCCTCAGAAGTCAATTATTATCAGATCCGAAGCTAGCAATGCAGCATGTCTGTTCATTGCTTCTTTGCCTAGGAAACATTGCTAGAAAAACAGATTGTGTCTGTAGATTCTAGGATTAAAATAGAGCTTATTATAGAACTTATTATGCATGGTAGAAAACTAGTGATTTTTGAAAGGATAACTTTTAAAGTTGCAGATGCTTATTTGATGCCTTCGTTACTTCCAAATTATTGAAGATAGAGGTGTTTTAGCATAAGCTATGCCAGTTCATTCTTACCCAGTGTTCAGTCTGCAAGGTTGTGCTGTTTCCCATTCAGCTGACAGAAAAAGTGCACTATCATGTACTATTATTTAGAACATTGGTTTAACCTTATTCCTGACAGATTTCCACTTGATTGCTTTATTGTTTGTCTTCTGCAGGTAAGGATGCCTATCAAATAGCTGGAATTGTTGTGGTGATGTTCTTCTGTTAGTCCACAACCCCTTCAGGTGTTTGGATATCGATGATTGCTCTGTCTTTCCGTTCTTTCTCAGATATTGACATACATTTTCTCATGATAGCTTGATATGCTTCTCTTTTTGTATTATTTTCATCTGTCTTGGACAAAGAAGAATAAATCTGTTTGAATAGTGAAATGTTATGACTGCAGAGTATTAGTCTTCCCTACAGAGTCTTCAGTGATCAGTGGGGAAGGCATGAAAATGTATTTTCTATGTGTCCTCTATGTAGCTTACAAACTTTTGGAAAAATTACTTTTTGTGCTACAGGTTCTTGATACTTAATAAGCCATCCTAAGACATCAAAACAGTCTAGTCAATAGTTTAGAGTTCAGCTGCTACAAATCTTGCCGTGGAAGAAGGGAGACCACATTATGAATGGAAATGCTTTACAAACAGGGGGAGTTAAGTGCTATTATAACTGTGCCATAAATGAATACTACAATTACTGTGCGTTCACTGGTTCACAGGTCTCTCAGACACCATTTTCCTTAGCTGAAAAAAAGTACCGTTCCTGTTACTGGCATTACTAAATAATTATTTAAACCACTATTTGCGTAATTGCTACATGAGCGTCTCGAGTTCCTTCTGTCAGCAATGGAAGACTATGCTCCACTATCAGTTCATATCAATTTGATTTAGTTATTTCTCTGTATTTCTTGATGCATTTCCAGAGCCCACGAATGGAAATACCACTGGATGAAATTCAGAAAAGAATATAGGATTTTTTTTTGTTTGTTTATAGCAATCAATATTGCAAATTCATGTTGAATTTCAAGTTATTTGGCACTTCTCTTTAATGAACACATCTTTCAGGGGAACCACTGAATCCAGGCCATTGTATTAGACAAGATCAGGAATTAAATGGGAATACATTTAAATCTGAATCTTGATTATCACATGTTTTATTAAGAACATCTGCTGATTCTTCAAGCTGAATACCTTTTGGCTCCCCAGCAGTTCTTTTTCCAACAGTGGTGTAGTTATAAAAGAATCTTAAACCTATCCACTGCAACTGCTGCAGAAGAAAAGTTGAAAAGGAAATTTCTGAGGATGAAGGGGAACATAAACCCCCTAATCTACTTCCAGCTGAGGCAGTGTGACAGAAAGTCCCACTTTGAAGTAAGTTGAGAATATCCCTGGAAAAGGATGGAATGAGAAACTAGAAATGTATTGTTTTTTATTAACATCTCAACTTCTGTTGAATGTCCTGCTTCGTCAGTGTCACAACTTAAGTGTCGTTAGCATGAGGCCACGTATGGTTTTCTGAGGATAAAACCCAAGAAGACAAAACCAATCTGGAAAGCAAATACATTTTGTACCCTTTTCTTACTGGAAGAGTTTGTTACTGTATTACATAGCAAATATTATGTGAGACTAAGTCACATTATTTTTGTCATGAATCTGTTAATCCATAACCTTTTTTTTTTCTGTGTAGTGTTTCAGTATTGAAACTAAAAGATCAGCCTGTAAACCACAGATATCTTCAAAGGAGAGAAAAATAAGTGTAGATCTGTGTTTTCTCATGCAATGGGTTTCCTTTTTCTGGAAGATACCAGCATTGGCATGGGAATCCTTTATGGTATCTCTGCATTCTCCTCTTGCTAACACAGACCATTAAAAGTTCTAGAAAGTAAGGGGATTTTATTGGATATAAATATTCATCTCTCCTGGCTCCTTATTTCCCTCCCCTGAGGTTTATTTCTAGCTGACCCAGAACGAGCGGACAAATGAGTAGTGGGGCTTCCTGCAGCAGTCCAGAGACATGGGCAACAAATGGAACAGCTGCTGGGGAGGAGGTGTCTGTGAGGCTTCCCCCAGGGTATGTTTTGCATACTTCCCCAGCTAGGTAAATGCAAGCATCATCTAAACCCAGAGGCTTTTAGCTACCCAAAGTCGGCACTGAAGGCAAAAATTCACTGAACTCGCAATTCATTCTGGTGAATGAAAGTAGAGGACATACAGGTTCACAACATGATAACTTTGGCTTTTTGACTGAAGAGATTTTCCTGTCAAACTCTGCCTGATGGTATTATAAGCAGAGAACAGTCTCTTATTGTCTAAATTGCAAACATCTAACCTTTATAAAGCCATACTTGTCATTCCCACCTTATTAATTTGGGTTTGTGAGATTGATTCAGCAGAATAGTTGCCAGAATTAGAAGGCGAAGGCGAAAGCCTCTGCAAAGTGTGAAGCAAATTAATCACATTGATTGAGCTACATGTCATTTTACAACTTCCCCGTTTTCAAAATTATGACTTTTGGCTATTATTTTTCCCTTCTCCTTTTGCTCATTAATGGCTTTTACGACAAGGAATCTGGAAAATTCCACCCACCCACCCACACTTTTGCAACACCACAAAACCACAATTAACTTTGCTACATGTGAATAATTATTCCTATGTAGTCTTCACTTACACTCAGAAGTGAAGAAGTGAACAGTGTTTAAGCATGTAAATATTAAAAGCAAATATGGAAATTAGCAACCTACTATTTACCAAGGATTGGTTTAAGTTTAAGTTTCCCATCCAAGAATGAATAATTTAGAAGACCCTCAGAATAGATGTCAGAAGTTTGGTTTGTTTGCAGTTTTGACAGTGAGATTAGGGGAAAGGGAATATTTTGGAAACAGCAGTAATAATAACACAGTCATAGTGTTCTTCCACTACAAAGCTGCACTGTTCTCAGTCTTAGGAGTAGAAACCAAAAATTTTGTAGGAGGCAGCCTTGGTGATAATGCATTGCATTTTGTCAGTTTGGGGTCTTTGAAAATTGCTGTTTATGCTTAGCTACTACAAATCTCTGCACTGCTGATAAACAGGGTATCTGATGATGCTGTCCACACAAAGCCTGTATGACCCTGGAACCGCCGTTGCTGAAGATTTTTTTTAGTGTCCAGATAGTGGGTATCTGGAATCAGAGTCTGTATCAGATTAAAATTGATTCAGATTAAACTCAGATCTAGAAGATTTATTAAATAAGCTCCAGTATTTAGTATTTAGTCTGAATAAGGAGAAAGTAGCCTGTCCCCCATGCAGAAGAGGGATAGACTAGATGGCTGAAAGCCTACTATGGAAGTGAGGAGATGGTACATACAGATTAACTTTTATCTTTTACAGGTAGGAATAAGAAAATGAGGTGATGCTAACAGAGAGAAGTGAGCTGGAGGCATGGTAGGGCAGATAAAAGCAGGAGGGCAGATACAAGAAGGGGGCACAAACAGCAGAACAATACAAAAGCCAGGAAGTTGGAGGTGATGGGATGAAAAGCAAAGTACTAAATCAAGCTCATTTGGGCTGTGAAGTAGTTTATCATTGGCTTTTTAGTCTGATTGCTGTCATCCTGCCTAGATACCCTCAGGAAAAAAAAAAAAAACCCTCTCATCTGTTACTTAGAAAGTTTGCCATACTTATATGGAGGTGACACTTCTTCCTCTCTGTAAATAGCAAGGAGAAAAAAGAGCCTTGTCTACTTTGTAAGGGTGGGAACTGGCCAAACAAATTATAGTTCCTTGTGACCTTCTTAGCAGAAGTGTTCAATGAGGAATTAACTTTCAAAGGAAAAGTTATCCTGAGCAATGAGAGAGATCACTTGAGATTAGTAGATAGTTAAGTAGCTGTGTACAGAGAAGGAAAGAGGAAAGAGGAGAAAATGGAGGCAGGACTATAATAAAGAGAGAAAATGTGGGACTGTTTCCAGAAGAAAGAGGCAAATGGAGGAATGTATATATTTGATAATTAGAGAAAGACGATATATCCATTTCTTGCTGCCATGCCTTCCAGGACAATTTTGTTGAATTCTCCCATTCTTTGCTTGTAGCACAGCTACTGTGCTTGTTCCTCATGATGTAGGCTTCCCATAGTTAACTCCACCACAAGGCAGCATTGGCACCAGCCCTCAGTGGAAGGAGATTCCACTCCTGGTGGCAGGTTGGGAAGCAAATGGCTTCTGTTACCTCAGTGGAAGGAGATTCTGTGGCCTTAACACTACTGGTGGCAGGTTGGGAAGCAAATGGCTTCTGTTTCCCACTGTTATCTGTGCTTCAGTTGGTGAGAGAAAGATATGAGGTATTCATAAGGTGGGATGAAGACTGATTGTTTCATGATGCAGTGGATCTATAGCCCAAACCGCTATGTATGCCCATAGCAAATCAGAGTGTTGATGACCAGTTTTAGTTCCTGATACATTGCTTATCTTTATTTGTGGGTGAAAGGGGGGAATAAGGGGAATCCAG